GAGGGAAAAAAAGGGGGAGGGGGGGCTTATTTCCCCTCGGTCTGGTTCGTTTTGCCTTTTCTTAGGTGGGGAGGTCAGGAAGATCGGCAGAGCCCTTAAGCCAGAAACTTGCCTTCAACTGACCTTGTGGCTTCAGTAGTGGGAACTGAAGCTGGGACTGTTGACTCAGTGGATGCCCTTCAACCTCAGTTCCTTCACCTGTAAAATGGGAACAAGGGCAAACTACCTCACAGAGCTGTTTGTGAGGATAAAAACTGTACAGCGTTTTGCACATTTAACATTGAGATAGTCTATATCACTCATTATTCTTCATAATAATTAATAATGTTACCCTCCCCTTTTGAAATCTGCGGGGCCACCCCCAGGTAGTGTGCTTAATTGTCCAGGCTTCAATGGCTTCTGGGTCACATCCATAAGACCTGGGTCTAACCCAGGTGGAGGCCATGACACCCACCCAAATCACAGCAGGCCAAGAGCAGTTGTTATATCTCTATCTATCTTTACCTATATATCTATATATCATAAGCTGTTGCTGCTCATTGAACTACAAGGTCAATTACCAATTGCCAGGCAGGCCCCCTTGAATTCTGTGTATTGTTTATATTTATATGTGAATACGGTATTTGGGGAAAAATTATTTCTGCTTCTATTTTATAATAAAATTAAGAAGAAATCTAGCCTACTGTTCAAGAAACAAAGGGTTTTGTGTCTAACCAGTGTCTCACTTGTCAGGGTCATGTCAGTAACTGAGCATTTCCCGTTTTCCAGGAAAATCCCATTCCCATCATTGGAAAATGCAAACAGTAAGACAAATCATAGACTGAATGGTGCAAGCAGGACTCAAGGGCCTCTGCCCATGTAGCTCCTAACTGCAGAGCAGAGGGCAGTTTTCCAAGGAGTAAGAGAAAACTCCTCCTGGCTTCCTTAAGAAGCCACTGGAAAAGTCCTAAACAAGGGGATTAAAAGGGCATGGTCCTCTCTGATTCCTTCTTAAAAGGGCAATGGGGGTGGGACCTCTATGCTTCTCTACTCCTGCTGTTCTTTCTCTCTCCTCCTCACTATTGATCTGATGGGGTGGTCACAAACCAGACCTGAATGATGTAATCATTAAATTTTCAGCAAGACGGGCAATGAAGGTTCATTTCTATATTTCCTTTCCATCTCCTTTGCCACCAACTCAGCTTTTCTCTGAGTTTTCCCCCCTTTCTCCACCTCTAACTGTGACGCGTAAATGCCAGTTTTAACACAAGGGACCTATGGGTGTGTTGCTCTTTCTCATCAATGCCTCTGGCCCTTTGCTCCCCCCTGTGGTTCCCCCCCCCAAGGAAATGCTCAAATACTCCAATTTGGGTAAATTTTACACATTGGTCTGAAGACAGGCATATTCCTAATTAAATTGTTTAGTGGCAGGGTGTGAGAGGCATGACTGCTTTGATACTGGAACTCTTACCACTGCCATGCATCGATGGGGCACCCCCTCGTGCCAGAAGAGTTCAGAAGAAGTAATGGATTCCTGCAGACAATTGACAAACTACAGTTCTTGAAATTCATTCAAGAGAAGCCATGAGATTGCAATACAGCTGTGATGGGGAATCTGTCACTCTTTAGATGTAGTTGAAACATAACTGTGTTCAATTATATTCAGAAACATAACTTCCATATCCAGAAATATCACTCCCATACCCTGATCATCATGCACAGCCTAGATGGGAGATGGAATCTAATATCTGAAGTAACCGCTGGTCGTCCAGAGTCTGTTGCAAGACTATTAGGTTCAGCAACAAAAAATATCTTGCAACGGAGAGAAGGTGTGGTGCTGAAGTTGGTTGTTAATTCACAGCTCCTTATTTGTCAGATAGCTGGCTAGATAGCTAAGTAATTTAGGTATCTGGCTGCAGAGCCAGAGGTTGGAAATTTGATTCCCCACTGTGCCTCCTGTAGGTTCAACCTTGGGTAAGCTGCGCAGTCCCAAGGCACATTCAGAAGAAGGGACTGGTAAACCACTTCTGAGTATTCTCTACCTAGAAAACCCTGAAAAGTGTCACCATTAAGTCAGAATTGACTTGATGGCACATGATAATTATGGTAATGATAATTATATATATATTTATTATTTATCTATGCATGAATGTTACAAATAACAGATCTGAAGATTTAAAAAAAAACATACACAATAATAAAAAATAGAAAGTAATCGTCGTCGTCAAATATGGAGCTAAGAATTAGGAAGCAATTTCAACATTGTAGAGAAGATACAGGTGGAATCCAGGAAGACTAGCACTTGCCAGAACCAGAGTAATTCCTTCATAGTACTGAATACCAAAGATAAGAATTTTGAGAGACAAGGAGTTAGATTCAGGCTTAGCAATATTTGTTGTTGTTAGAGGCTGTCAAGTCACCTCCAAATTATGGCAACTCTATAAATGAACAATCTGGACAAGGAGTTAGATTCAGGCTTAGCAATAATTGTTGTTGTTAGAGGCTGTCGAGTCACCTCCAAATTATGGCAGCTCTATAAATGAACAATCTACAAAATGCCCTGTCTTCAAGAAAATGTAGCAATATCTAGATTAGAATAATTAAAATCAATGGATATTGCCATCCGTGACATTATGATGAGTTAAGTCCCATTGATTTCAACAGATCTGCTCTACATATAGCTGAATAGCTCAGTGAGACAAAGCATCTGTCTATGGAGTCAGAGATTGGGAGTTTGATTCTCCATTGGGTCTCACAGGATTGGGCAAACTGCAAACTTCCAGAGGCGAATTGCAAACAATTTTAGACTAAACTTTATCGAGGATATTCTGAAAAAGGTTGCCACAACTCAGAATCAACTTGATGGCAGATAATTATGACTTGGCAGCCAGTGAGATATAGTCAATAGAATGATGAACTACAACTCAGGAGACCCAGGTTCAAATTCATGCTTGATTATGGGAACTCACTGGATGTGA